TATGGAGAGCTGAGTAAGAGAATGAGTGATCTCGTGAGAGATCATGATGATGACAAGAGGGAGGCTGTCGAAAGGTTGGCTACAATATTTTATTCATTTCATTCATTTCATTCATTCATTTTCATTCATTCATTCATTCATTCATTCATTCATTCATTATCCACCCTTACCAAAGGTGCAAAGAGGAGATGATGATTTATAACGAGAGGACCATTGAAATTATCAAAGAAGAACATTGCAGTAAATTTCAAAATCAAATCGAAACCCTCAAGTAATTAATCAGCATAAAATATCATCTAATTATTAACATAATTAATTAATTGATTGATTGTGGGATTGATGGTTAATTAATTGTCCTAATTAATTAATATAATTGGTGCGTGAATAAATTTAAAAATAAAATTTGCAGGCGACAGCTTTCAACCACTGAGGACGAACTCTGCCAGACGAAGCAGCTCTACATCGAGTACTGCCAGTCGACCAATCACATCGAAGACAAAACCAAAAAACTATGTATGGGTGAACTGGAGGAGATGATGAGAAAAGTAAGGGGAGGTGTTGATGGTGGAGATGATGGTGGTGGTAACGTGGTAGAGATGATGGTGGTAAAGTGAGGGGTGATTTCAATTTTGTTCCATATTCAATTGTTCAGTTAAAAATGAAGCTGGAAGAAGAGAAAGAGACTGAAATTAATGAAATGGTGAAGCGTAGAGTTAGTATCATCATCGTCGTCGTCATCATCGTCGTTATCACTTTTATTCATTCATTTTTCTATCCATTCATTCATTCATTCGTTCATTCATTCTTTCTTTGCTTTTTTTTCCTCTTTCGTTCATCCTTGCAGTAAGTTTTCATTTATTAATTCACTGATTGATTGATTCATTTATTAATTCACTAATTGATTAATTGGTTGATTGATTTATTCTTTTATTTATTCATTCAATCGTTCATTCATTCAATCGTTCATTCATTCAATCGTTCATTCATTCAATCGTTCATTCATTCATTCATTCATTCATTCATTCATTCATTCATTCATTCATTCATTCATTCATTCATTTATCCATACATTGCCATTTCTCCATTCAATCCACCCAGCTTAAAGACATAAAGTACGAACTGATAGAGGAAGAGAACTTGAAATATAGCAAACTGCAGCAGAAGCACGACGACGAGAAGGGCAGGCTTCTACTGGAAATTGAAACTCTGAAAAGACAATTGCAACTTTTAAACAACAACAACAACAACATTATCTCCACTAACAACACTAACAACATTAACACCAATGACAACATCAAAGAAAACATCAACAATACCAGCTCAAACACCAACAACAACAACAACATCGCTACTACTAATAACAATAACATCAACAACGACACACCACCACCAACAACAACAACTACGCCAAATAGAGGCAAATGTATTGCGGAAAAAGACTCCAATTATGAGACATATGAGAGGACCATAGACAGTCTAAAAAATTTAATCGAATCCAAAGACAATGAAATCATTAAGCTGACAGAGAATAGATTAAATATCGATAAAAAATATGAAAAAATTGTAAATGATTTGAAAGATTCTATTTCACTAAAAGATAGCGAAATAATAAAACTCAAAGAGACTATATCAAGCACCGAGGTTGACCTTCAGAGAGTTAAAAATGACCTTGGGCTAAAAATAAACGAATGCAACCTCAATGTCACTCAAATCGAGAGACTGACTGAAAAACTGACGTCATCAACGAACGAATTAACGTTGAAAAATTCAGAAATACTGCAACTGAGATCGTCAATAGAGAAACTGAAATCGGAAAATGTTGAAAATTTCAGGAAGGATAAAAATAACAAAATCGAAAGTGAAAGTGCAAGTAGTAGTAATGATGATGATGCGCAGCAGACGACGATAACGAAACTGAAAACGAAACTGGCGCGTCGGGATAGGCTGGTTGAGAGCCTGGAGAAGGACATGGTTGAGATGAAAAAGAGAGTTGAACTTTCCAGAAAATCTTCCGACGATGGTTGATGTTGTTGTTGATGATGGTGATGGTGGTGGTGTCGTTTGGTGATGAAGAAGAAGAAGATGATGATGATGTTGATACTGATAATGATGATTTCTTTCGGTGACGGTGATGGTTATGATGATTTATGATGATGATGATGATGACGGTGGTGATGATGACTAATAGATGACATTTTTAAGATTATTGTTTATTAATATTATTGCCTTTTTTTCAGCACTAAAGAAAAAAGAGATAGAAGATAGACTGAAAGAGTCGCAAACGAAGTGGATGAATGACGAGAGAGAGAAAGTAGTAAAAGAAATGAACGAAGAGAGAGAGAAAGTGATAAAAGAAATGAACGAAGAGAAAGAGAAAGTGATAAAAGAAATGAATGAAGAGAGAGAGAAAGTGATAGAAGAATACGAGAACAAATTAAATATAATTAAGAAGGAATATGCCGGAATGAAAGAAAGTCACGAAGATGACGTCATGAAGAGAGTAGAATCAACGAGATGCTACTGGGAAAAGGTAATAATAGAAACCCTTTTATTCATCTCAAAACTTTAAAAGCAGATGATTAGATAAATAAAATGAAATAAAATATTGTAGATAAATAAGATTTTTAAAAATTAATAAAAGGGTGTTGTTGACTCATGGGCTCATTGCACTGGCAAGTGTAGTCCGGTTAAATGTATACTTGCACGCACGCACACATGGATGTATATGCACACGTACACACACACACACAAACATGCAGAAACTACAAGAGACCATAAAAGAAAAAGACAGAGAACTTTCAGAAGAGAGGGAAAAATTACTTCTGCTGGCAGACGAGCACATAGAAAGTGAAATCAGTAAACTGAAGCAACAAATGTTTCAGCAACATTTGCAAGTCGAAGAGGAAATGAAGAAAAGACATCAGCAACAACAACTACATCAACAACAACAACAAAATTTTCCTTCACCGTATGCCAATAATAAGCAACAACAACACATCAGCAGTAGCAGCCACAACAACAACATCTACATCAGCAACAACATCACCAAAAGATTCTCTTCAACACCACCCAGTCGGGAACACGATGATTACTATGATTATGCTGCCGTTGGCGATGACTTTTCGAAAGCCAACGACAACGACGATAACGAAATCTTCTCAAAGATATTCTCAGATGACGATGATAATAAGAATGAGAGAGATAGTGCGAAGATGGTGAGGGTACTGAGCGATGGTGAAGATGATAGTGACCGTGCTGATGATAGGGATGTAAAGAGTGATGTCATAGTCGGTGCTAGCCATAGCAAAACGTCATTAAAAGTTAATTTCGATAATAATAATAATTTACCGAAAACTAAACAACAACAACAACAAAAAGCGACCAAAGAGTGTTATCGAAATCGTCATCACTCTCAACAACAACGACAGCAACTACAACAACAACAGTGGCGACAGAATCGACAGCCCAAACAGCAACAGCATCAAGAGAAAAAAAGAACTACCCTACTGACAAGGTCATCATCGTCATCAGTACCACCACCACCACTACCACCACCGTCATCATCACTAACATCATCATTACCACAGCCAGCACTACTACAATCATCGTCATCAGCGTCGTCACTGTTAAAAACATCTCAGCCATCGTCACAGCAATCCTTGCTGATTAATATTTCGAGGTTGGAGAAAGAACTAAAAGAGCAAAGAATAAAATACGATGACGTCATGAAGAAATACTCCGACGCCAAGAAGAAATTAGATTCAGAATCTTTGGTGTCATTGGAGAAAAATGCAGAACACTCTAAGGAAATTTTAAATCTGACTAAGGAAAAAATGTCTTTGCAAGCTGAAGTCAGTTGTTTCAACTAGAATTATTATTATTATTAGTAGTAGTGGCAGTAGCAGAAATTTTGTTTTTGTTGTTGTGAGTTGGTAGTTGTTAGTGCGAACTTTTTAAAACTGTTGCTTTGTCATGTTGTTGATGGGTTATATAGCAGAATGCGTATATTTCATTTCAACTACTGATACAGATGGAGCTGTTGAAGGAGACATCAGAGAAGTTGAAAACGACGTTGACTACTTGCATGGCTGAGAAGAATGAACTGGCGAACCAGCTGAGGGCGAGCCAGACAGATCACGAACAACAATCTCAATCCCTCTCCAAACTTCAGTCCCAAGTAAACCAACTAACTTACGATCTAAGTGAGAAAGATTCGAGTCTGGGTAACTCCATCAAGACTATAAACCAGCTGCAAGTGGAAATAAATTCCGTCTCGAAGCAGCTCCAGCAGTGCAAATTATCTCTGTCGACGTTGTCCAATGAAAAAAATTCACTTCTAACGAGTCTGCAGAGCAAAGAGTCGCAACTGAAAGAATTACACCAGACCATCGAAGTCATATCCAGTGAGAAGAGTCAGCTTGAAGGAAAACTATCAGAGTCCTGCGATGAAGTGAGCAGACTGAACGACAAGTTGAGAAAATTCCAACAGAAATTTAATTCCTTCAATCTAAGAAGTGAGGAACGTTTTAAGAAAGCCCAGGAATCAAAGGAGAGGGAGCACAAAGACGCCATTCTGAATCTGGAGGTTAACTTCAAGAAGGTTCTAGATGAAAAAAATGTAGATTTGAAAAATTTGGCTTCGGCGTTGAACGAGGAACAAAACAGGGTCAGTGAAGTTAGGAAAAGATTAGATGAAGCTGAGGAGAAGCTACTAATGCATGCTAAACAAGATACCCAGAAGGTCTATTATTATTATTATTTTATTATCATTATTATTATAATACTATTATTATTAATATTATTATTATTACTATTATATATTAAATTAATACTCCATTTGACATTTTAATTATCCTTCATTTTATTCTACTCGTCAGTTTATCACCATTTTCATTGGTTTTATAGCTGAATAAAAGATTGTTCTCATCGTTATTATTATGGATTATTGTTATATCTTTATTTATTTTTTATTTGATTAATCGATTGATTGATTGATTGATCGATCAATTGGTTGGTTGGTTGTTTGATTGATTGATTGGTTGATTGATTATGTAGGTATTGTTAAGTTTGTAATTTTAATAAACATTGAACCAGAAACAAGAAGTCGAAAATACCATTAAATTCTATGTTGATTCTCTTGAGGAGATAAAAGGTTGGTTAGTTGGTTGGTGAATGGCTGGTTAGTTGATTGGTTGGTGGTTGTTTGGTCAGTCGGTTGGTTGGTTGGGTAGGGGCTGTCTTTTGTTAGTTTCCTTCTCATCTTCGTCATCGTCATCACCGTAGTAATCACCATTATCGTCATCATCATCATTGTCATAGTCATTCTTATTTTTTTTAATTAAGTGTCTTTATTACCATCGATTTCATCATTAATCAACCAATCAATCAACCGACCGACCAACCAATCAAATCATTCAACCAACCAACCAATCAAATCTTTCAATTAACCAATCAGCTGAGGTTATGAGCCACACGTTACAGACCAAAGAACAGACAGATGATCTAATGATAAAGAAGTTGAAAAGTGAAAAACATAGAACTGCCAAACATCTGAGGAGATATTATCTATTATCACTCAATAAATTATTGAAGAGATCACACTTTGAAAGGTGTTTTATCTCTGCACGTTTGTTTTTGTTTTGTGTTTGTTTGTTTGTATGTTTGTTTTTATGTTTTTCGTGTGTATGTGTGTGTTTGTAAGTATGTTTGGTTATCTGTGTGATTGTGCATATATATCAAAATATGCATATGCGTGTTTGTCTGTCTTCAACTTGTTCGTATGTCTCGATAATTTGTTCTTATCACTGATATGTCTGATAATTTATATTATTATTATTATTGTTATTAATATTATTATTTTTACTATTATTGTTATTTATTGTTAATAATCACATTTCATCACGATAATAATATTTAATCATTCGTTCCAGTTCCTTCATTAAAAACTTCATGAGATCCATGGAACTGATGCTCGATAACATTCCAGAGCCAGCGTCAGTAGAAGTAGCAGCAGCTACTACATCAACTACAACTGAAGCAGCTGCAGCTGCTGCAGCAGCGTCAACTACTCCAATGTTACCTCTTACTGCTAGAAGTGTTGAGACCAATACTGAATTGTTTAGCTGGAATGTTAGTGATAATAATAATACTACTACTACTAATAATACTAATAAGAACAACAACAACAATAATAATAATAATGGTAATAATAATAATGACAACAAAAATGCCATCTATGATCGGTTGAAGAGAATGTCGTCGTCGTCATTGCCTAATAAATTCACTCTAGATGATTTTCAAACGCCAAAGATCGTAAATAATAACAATAATATAAACAATAATAATAATAATAATAATAATAATGATGATGATAACAAAAACTCCATCTACGATTGGTTGGAGAGAACGTCGTCGCCATCATTGCCTGATAAATTCAATCTAAATGATGTTCAAACCCCAAAGATCGTAAATAATATAAATAATAATAATAATAATAATTATGTCGATAATATTAATAATAATAAGTCACAACATAACTTCAGCAACAACTACAACAACTACATCAAAAATTCTATCAACAGACCAACAAAAACAGCAGCAATGACGTCAACATCATCACCAACACCATCAATAACATCATCATCATCATCAACAATTACATCATCATCAGCACCTTTCATTAACATGCCAACAACATCAACTCCAGATATTTCAAACAATGAGTTTTCTAACTATACAAGTCTTCGAATGAAACTAATGAAGGAAAATTTATTTGGCGCCAAAAAGTCTTAATGTAATATATGTTGAATATATATATATATATTATAGTTAACATAATAAAAATTATATTATTACTATCATTATTATAATTATTAGTATTACTTTCATAATTATTTTATTATGTCTGTACGTCTTACACGGATTTTAACATATTTAAGCTTCGTTTATCATTCATTTTAGATCTTTAAATTTTTTGTTTCGATTGAATTTTTATCATATTATCAACGTTCATTCAAATGTGCCGAATATATGTATATGTGTGTGTGTGCATTTTATTTAACGTGTGTAATCTTGAAGTTCTGGGCTAATTTCGTGAAGGTTCGTTCGTTCGTTCAAATTTTTACGGCATTTTAGCTCTTTTTCAGGCTGTCTGTACACCACTGGGAACATAATTTTTTATTTGCTTCTTTCTATGAGAGATTCACTACATACCGAGGTCGGAGTGTTATTTCAATTCCTGGGTTTGGACGTGTTAATGTTTTGTATCAGTTTACTTTTAAAAGTTTATTGCTCCTAGCAACCAATATAAACAGTTTTTCTAGCTTAAAATTTTCGAAAATACTATTTCTCAATATAAAAGATATTTTTTTATAATTCTAAAATTAATTTAAATTGAAAAGATGGTCAAATTAACCATCGACATGCTGATCCGTAAAAAATCCGGACAGCTGAATAAGAAACGTGATGAAAGTTTGACCAGATTTTTAAAAAAGCAGACACATTTGAATCTAGAAAACAGGCAGATTACTGAGATTGTTCGTTTATTTTCACATCCAAAGTTAATTTATTTTATTTTTTAAGATAAAAATTATCTTTCAACAGGGCGCAGAACTGAAATCATGCCCTAATTTGTTAGTGCTCTATCTATATGACAACCAGTTGACGACAATGCCAGATCTGACTAAGAATATTTACATTGAGGCTATCTACATACAAAACAATTGTATCTCGAGGATACAGTATCTTGATAACTTGTCAAAGTTGAAAAAAATGTATGTTTTGTATATTTGTACTTGTATGTTAGATTTTGTTTGCTTTGGTATTTTCATATTTTGTAAGTCTTTTTATTTGTATATTTTATCTAAATTGAAAAGAAAGGATGTTTTATTTTATGACTTCATCGAAACAACAACAATAGCGATTGTAAATGATTGTATACTACTACTACTACTAATAATAATAATGAAAATAATTTAACATAACAGATATCTAGGGCACAATCATATATGTGTGCTGGAGGGTTTTGAAACTGTTGAGCAGCTGGAAGAATTGAACATCGAATGCCAGAAACTGGCTCCTGGGGACTCTTTGATTGTCGACCCTTTTAGTGTTTTTGCATTTTCGGTTGGGGCCTATTATTACTACTGTTGTTAATTAAAAATAATAATTTTTATTAATTATTTTCTAAATTTTTTTTCTTTCACTTTCCACCAGAAAACACTGAAAATTTTAAATGTGGCAGGCGACAATCTGACATCGATAGCAGCTTTCGAGAGCTGCGTCAGCCTAAGGGTTGCTAACTTCACTAACAATTTCATCGATAACTTAGCTGAAACGGCCGATGTCATCAGTAAGAAATGGTTCTACATCACGAAATTAGATTTTAGCGGGAATCCTATTTGCAGTGCACATAAATATAGAGATGAGATAATTCTCGCTGCTATTAATACTCTAGGTTTTGGAAAATTTAGATTTTATTATCTCAACACTGGCGTTGTCAGTGTTTTTAATATGTATTATTATTTCTTTGTTATAATAAACTTTAGAAAATTTATAAATATAATTTATTTAGCCGGTTAAAAAATACGTATTAAATTAAGGTAAAATATGAATAGATGAATAAATTAAATTATATTTCAGAAATTTTGGACGAGAAGGAAATAACAGAGAACACGAAGCAATTTTTGAGAGGATTAAAGTTGAAATCAGAGCCTAAAAATAGAATCAACTCTAACGGAGCTGTCAATCACATTGAAAGGGGCAATAATAGTAACAACAAAAACCACACATCGTCGTCGTCGTCTTTATTCTTAAAACAGAAATCTAATCCTAGTATTAATCAGTCAACGTCATTATCATCAAAAACATCAGCAAAAATGACGTCATCAATGACATCAACAAAGACACCAACGGCACAGATCACAAACAGATCAATACTTATTCCTTCTCATGCGATAAAAACAACAACAACAATTAATAATAATAATAATAACAGTAATAATAATAATTATAACAAAATAAAAAATAACATTAATAACACTAACAAATTAACAACACCGGTTCCTATAGCAGCAACGCAATCGCCATCTCATCATGGTGACATCAAAGATATCAACAACAACAATATTAATAATAATAACGGCCACAATAACCAGAGTAACATCATCATCAACAAAAATAATAATAATAAAGATAATAACGATGATGATGATGACGATGACGACGATAATGATGTCGAAATAGTGGTGAACGGAATAAAAAATATTGACAAATACGCTACTACTACTACTACTAATAATAATAATAATAATAATTGTAATGAAGAAGATGATGATAACGGTAGCGATAACGATGATGATGATTTCTAGACTCCCGTAATTGTAGATCGTGACGAATTAGGTGGAAGAGGTTTTATGTGATAAATGAATAGGCACTCCTTGCTACTGACAAATGTATAAGAGAAAAAAAAAACCAGAACCTCAATGCAAAATTAAAATGTTTTATAACGATATAGTTGACAAATTCAATGAGAAATCTATCTCGATAGGCGTTTATTCAAATGAGTGCAACTAGAAATCATTAGGTTTCTAACAATAAAGAGTTTCTCCATCATAGTATACTCTATATCACGTAAGATGAAGATAAGACAGAGTTTATAGATATTTATAAAATTTATAAAATAGAAATTTAAAAAATATTTAGAAAATGATCTATCCGTCCAAATTAAACTCGTTGATGGTAGATTTAAAGTGTTATATAAGTCCATTTTAGCGATTTCGAACGTTTTAATTAAGAGTTTAAAGTCTTTGTAATTGTTAATATTTGTAAATTTTGGAAGCTAAATTGGGGATTGTGAGCGTGGATATACATTTATCCATTTGTTGGTTTTGTACTCTTTCCTTTTCACAAGGTTCGTCTCTCTCCTGATATATTGTTGTTGACCCAAAACTTTGAAATGATTTGCAAAGTGTTGAGACCGACAGGCAGTCTTCATAACCTGCGTGTCTGACAACAACAACAACAACAATAATGACGACAATAACGTTAATAATGAGTTTTCGGCGAATGTTACTGTTGTTATTTTTATTATTTTTTAAAGTTTAATTCGATTAAAACACGAAACCAATGAGAAATAGGAAATGCCTTTTATTTCCATGATATTATTAAATATTGAAATAATATTAAGTAAAAAATAAACATATATTTTTGGTTAATTGTTAAAATAAATTAACGAATATATATATATAAATATATATCTATATCTTAATCATATATATCTCTCTTAATATATATATATATTAATCATAACTATCATGTCTTTATATTAGTTTATAAATAGAATAAGTAAAACATTTATTAAAATCATCATTGCGTTTGGTTGTATCATCATCTTCTTCTTCATCATCACCATCTTCTTCATCATCGTCATCATAACCGCAGTCATCATTTAGTCATTATCATGGCTTTATCAAGTTTATAAATGTTATTGTTATCAATGCAAAAGACGAAAGCATTTATGTGGGTTTTAACTTAATAACATCTAAAAATATTAAAAAAACCATCAATCAGTCAGACAATCAATCGATCGATCAATCTGCCAGCCAACCAACCAATCAGTCAACTGATCATTCACTCAACTAACCAATCAATCAGTCAACTGATCATTCACTCAACTAACCAACCAGTTAGATAACTAGCCAGCCCACCAATATTTTAATCTATGATTCAAACAATCAGTGGACCAATCAATCACTCAACCTATTAACCAGTCAGCCAACCAATCAACCAGTCAGCCAACCAATCAATTATTCAATCGACCAATCAATTACTCAATCAATCAATCAATTACTCAATCAACCAATCAATCACAGATTCTTCATAAGGAAACTAAGCAGGAGGCATTCGTAATGTTCATGTGACTGGGCGTTTCTTATTCCATGTCTCTCATTCGGGTAGGTCTGAATGACAGATAATAATTATAGTTAATAATTAGTTATAATAATTAGTTATAATAATAATTAGTTATAATAATAATTAATAATTAGTTACAATAATTATAATTTTTGATAATAACGGCGGAACAGCAAAACGGCTTGAGGAAGACTCAGAAACTAACCCGTAGCACGTAAGGTTTGCAATTCCTTATCAATTCATTTGATCATGTGCTTGTATGATAAGAAGTGACATTTTCATCCATTCAAGCGTGTACTTTTAAAAAGTCTGCCTTCTCTAAGTATTAATAATAATAATAATAATAGTTATAATAATAATAATAATAACAGTTATAATAATAATAATAATTTGTCACTTATATAGCGCAACAGACCCACAGCCAGTCAGTCCGTACAGATACACGATTGCAAACGGTAGGGAACCGCTGTGCACATGTACGTGAGAGTTGGCCGGGATCTTTCTGCATTCAAATCCAGTCACTTCGACGATACAAGAAAGACGCAGTACAAAAAAAACATGATACAGTATAAAAAAAAGATACAATACAGAAAACATACAATACAGAAAATATACAATGCAGAAAAGATACAATACAGAAAAGATAAAATAGGGAAAAGATACAATACGGAAAATATACAATACAGAAAAGATACAATACAGAAAACATACAATACAGAAAACATACAATACGGAAAATATACAATACAGAAAAGATACAATACAGAAAACATACAATACAGAAAACATACAATACAGAAAACATACAATACAAAAAAAATACAAACTGCGTAGGAAATTGATTGGCCCTCTCGACGACGGACGTACTCTTATAAACGTGCTCGTTATCTTTCGGCATACCCAGGTACCGCTCGGTGTATCCGGTATCGTACAACAACCATGACGTCACAGGTGCTCCTGATATCGCTACCTTCATTGATTGATGAATGAATGAATGAGTGAGTGAATGATCGATGAATGGGTGAGTGAATGATCGATGAATAGATGAGTGAATGAATGAATGAGTGAATGAATGAATGAATGGTCGATTGTGCTTGTTAAATGAGTGGATGAATTAATGAACGAACGATTGAATAGATGGCTGATTGTGTTATGTGCCTCAAAAAAAAGAATGAAAAAATGAATGATGGATGAATGCGTGAATAAATTAATAAGTCGTGAAATCATCATAACCTTGAATATATCAGGCCTTTGAACTAGGCCCATCAGCGCCAGGTAGCCACCTAACGAAAACAAAAACAACAATAATAACAACAACAATAATTATTATTCTTATTATTAAAGAGATGAAAGTAAAACCGAAACTGACCGTACGACCATCCCATGATGGCCACTCTTTCGAGATCGAGAAAGTCGAAGGTTTGGGCTGCGTAGTGCAAGCCCTCAACCTGGTCCGATATCTCTATGTTACCCTGTCATAGTTTATGCAAACAAAATAACTAACCAACGAATCCCAATCAAAAAAAGACCAACCAAACTAACCGGTCAAACTCACCGACCGACCAATCAAAATTAAATAGCATCGTTAACCAACGAATCGAAACAAAGCCGACCATATTAACCAACCAAACCAACCAACCAATCAATCAAAATAGACCATCTCCAAATTGACCTATCAAAACTGACCAGTTTATTTTTCAAGTGGCCCTCAAATATGTAGCCCCGGTGTGCTGAGCCCCTGTTATCGATGATGACAACCGCATAACCGAACTGAGAGAGTTTATTCTGCAGAGTGAATCTAAGTAGCAGTCGATTGAGATGGGTGATGGTGATTGACGGTGCATACTCGTGATGATCAGTGCATTAAAATAAATAAATGATTAATTAGTTGATCAGCAAGCACGATTCGTTTGTCGTGAACGCACACACACATGCACACACACGCGCACGCACACACACATACACATACAGGCACACACGTGCGAACAAACTTACTGACCTATATGCGGAAAAGACATTAGAGACCAGTTGTGCGTGTGGTCCGCCATAAACGTACAGCACAACCGGATATTTGGATGATCCGGCAGTTGAGTTGGGCACTCCGGGGGGACTCGAGGGCGTCATCGTTTCAACACGAGATGAATAGAGAGATGATGGCGGAAGAGTAGGAGGTGGTGGGGACGACGACGATGGTGGTTTAATGACCATTCCGTAGAGTTTGGTTCCTGTACTGGAGGTGAAGTCGAATGGGATCGGTGGATCTGAGATCGGTTGCTGGATGTCTGCGTGAGATCAGTGCGGGAGGGGATGGGAAGATGTAATTTTTGGGAATTTGAGTTATGTAGAGTTTAGGTTTAATTAATTGAAATTAAATTTATGAATCTTTGGTAGCACTCGGAAGACAACAGCAGCAACCGTAGACCACTGCCACAAAAGTAAAAACTTAATCACTTTCATAAAAAAATAGTTGCTAATTCTAACCAGGTATATGCAGGGAACCAGCATAAACGAACTTGACCTTTGAGAGGCCTTGACTGACCTTTGAAGAGCCAATTGAAATCGAGTAAACTTCGCATATGTTGGGCACTTTCAAAGAACTTAGCGTTGTTATGAAGAGCTTGCATTTCTTTTCAGGGTAAAAAAATTCATTCACTCATTCATTCATCATTCATTGTAAATATCATCATAAACATCATTCATCTATTCACTCTCTCGTCCAGTCATGATTACCATCATTCATTCTTTCATTCGTTCATTCATTCGTTCATCATCATCATCGTCATCGGAACTGACGTCATCCATGATGACGCTATTGGAGTAGCCAGCTTTAGTTATCCTGACAGGCTGCATTAAGTTCTCGTCACTATTGGTCTCGTATGTCATCAGGTAACTTTGTAAAAAATAATTTCATTCGTCCATTTACTTGTTTGTCTGCCGCTCACTCACTCACTCATACATTCATTCATTTATTCATTCATTCATTCATACACTCATTCATACACTCATTCATTTGTACATGAATTTATTGGTTCGCTCGTTCAATCTATCAACATTTTATACATAAACAGATGAGCATTTTTCAGTCTATCTAAGCTTTCATACATCCGTCCATCCATTCATTCATCCACTCATCCATTATTTAGTTTATTCATTCAATCATTAATTTTACGCTGATCAATAGATGCATTCAGTTATCTACACACACACGCACACACACAAGCACATACATACTCAGACACACACAAACGCACACACTCTCAAACACACACACAAACACACGCATACAGATGGGCTTCTAATGGGGTATCCTTGTATCCAATGAAGTATATGATCTTGTTAACTTGATCAATCCACAGCTGTGAGATGATTGAAAAGATGAATGAATGAGTGATGGAATGAATGAATGGATGAATGAATGAATGAACAGATGAATGAACAGATGAATGAATAAATGAATGAATGAATGAATGAATGAACGGACAAATTAACAAATAAACAATTGAATAAATGTATGAATGAACAACTGAGTGAACAAATAAAAAAATGAAATGAATGAATGAATGAGTAGCTAAATAAACGAATAAAAAAATGAACGAGTGAAAAAATGAAATGAAAGAATGAAGCACCAACATTCTTTCCATCCACCTCCCACTCCCCAGATGTCAGCTTCTTATTCTGTAGTACCTTAGGCTCGTGTATCACTGTGGTGATAATCACAACGCTATTGAGCTTTGAAATAATGTTACACTAGTAACAAATGGATCAATCAATCAATCAATCAATCAATCAATCAATCAATCAATCAATCAATCAATCAATCAATCAACCAATCAATCAAGCTATCATTCATTCAGCCAGTCAATCAATCAACTGATCAGCCAGCCAGCCAATCGGCCAACCAATCAGTCCACAAACAAACCAACAAATCATCCTACGAGAGAAGACACAAGACAAACACGAATAACTAATAGAAAGAGATTTCGAACTTAGCGGCTTCTGCTGATTATTCCCCGCAAACGATGGAGCGGCATGTGAACACTCCTTAAGATCGACGATTACGTGGCGCAAATGAAGGTAGCCAGAAGATTCTACGCCACATATGAACGATACAATGTTACAAAGCTTTCCTTTATTATTCGCGCTAGTGTTGTTGTTGTCCGTGTCAACGCTCATATTCGGGTTTGCTTCACTGGCGTTTTTGTAGTCGTTGTTGTTACTAGTATCATCGTCGTCGTCGTTATCATTACAGCGATTATTGTTATCATCGTCATTATCGTCATCATCATCAGTATCAAGCATTATAGCGTAGCCGTTGTCGCAATCGAAAAAGTGGTCGCTGGCTATTTTGCCGTCATCGTCGTCGGTGACGTCATTGGCGTTGAAATCGAAGTCGTGATCGTCATTATCGTCATGGTCGTTTTCCTCAGTTACGACAATGATGCTGTTGGGCTTTCTGTTGCCGGCGCCATCTCTGTCGTTGTAATTGTTGTTGTTGACGGTGCTGGCTCTAGGGGTCCGTGCTGGTGTTGGTACTGTTGATCGTTGAGATTTTTGGAAGGTTGAAAGAAGTTTCGACGATGGCGGCGATTTCAAGTCGGGTTTCAGGAAACGGAGAAGTTTGTGGGCCTATTTGTTTGTTTGTATGTATGCATGTATGTATGTATGTATGTATGCATGTATGTATGTATGTATGAATGTATGTATGTATGAATGTATGTATGTATGTATGTGTGTATGTATGGTTGTATGGTTGTTGGTTTGATTGATTGTGAGTCTGTTTGTGTGTTTGTATGTATATATGGTTGTTGGTTTGTTTGATTGTTAGTCTGTCTGTTTGTGTGTTTGTTTGTTTGTATGGGTGTTTGTTGAGATTGGTGTTTTGTTGGTATGGTTGTTTGTTATTTGTTTGTATGGTTGTTTGTTTGCATGGCTGTTAGTTTGTTTGTTTGATGTGTTGTTGTAGGTTGATTTACCTTATTCAGCGGCATCAACAATTGAAACAACAACAACAATTGAAACAACCAACAACAACAACAAACAAACTAACATGTAACCAAAGACCATTGTGAGATGTCTCTTCGAGTAGCAGGTAAGCCCTTATATCCCCCTCAGCATAACTACTACCCCCTAGGTCTTTCTCTTTAAACATTTTGGGGAATTTTGAATTATTGACATTGTCTTTGTTGTAGTAGGAGAAGGATTTTATTGGAATCAGGTATGTTCGTTTGATTGTTTGCAGTCTGTTCATCAGTACTACATATATTCTGGATTGTTTGTTTGTTTGTTCGTTCATGTGTTTGGTTGGATTTGTTTGTTTGTGTGTTTGCTTGATTGTCTGGAAAAAAAGACGCTTGTTTGTATGTGCCTTTTTGTTTAACAGAATCATACACACATACCAAACCACATAGCCGCACACACACACACACACACACACACACACACACACACACACACACACACACAACACACGCACACACAAAACCACACCTCTTTCCATCTGGCAACCAACCAGCATCTAGTAAATATTCAGCGTCAGGGAAGAGTTGCATTATTGGTCGAATCAAGCTCAACTCCACCAAATCTACTATCTGAATGGATGAATGAATAAATGGATGAATGATTGATGGATGAATATGATTGAATGAACGAAAGTAAAAAAAGAAAACAAAACCAACTGCGTCTCCTTTCCTCACAAATTCAATAATTTTAAGATCAGATGTTGCATTCTTGGTCCCTGCAGAGCAAGAATATGAGCCAGGATTACCAAAATTCAATTACGCCACTACAAACATCACACACATGCACGCACAAATACACACACACACAAGTACAAACATACGCACACATACATAAACACACAAACAATGTGTACACGCTCACACATGGACACAACAAAAATAATGCATAATATTCAATCAGTCAATGAACCAATTAATCAAGCAACCAACTAATCAATCAGCCAACCAATCAGCCAGTCAGCCAACCAACCAACCAGGCCTTGGATATCGATACTGATCGACTATGGACCCCAGAGAGTTGTGCGAGACGATATTCAAGATGTCAACTTCACCCTCGTTTATTTCTTCATACAGCAATCTGTATCGACGGACTGTCCTTAACTCTAAATTTGTTTGAGTTTTTGTCGTAATTAATTATCTCTGCTGGACTATAAATTAATTAATTATCTTTGACAGATAAATAATATTAGCATACACGTATACACAAAGCATAATTAAGCATACAAGTGCATATATAAATGCACAACAAACAAACAAATCAAACAGCTAGCCAATACATCTACTAATCAATCAACAAGCAATTCTACCAGACAGACTGCCATTCAGTCAACCCATCAACCAACCAACCAACCAACCCACCAACCAGCTCTAGGATCCAGAGGTCTCCACCAGAAGCCAACAAACCTATCGAACTCCTCTTGAACTATGTACGACGGTACGCCGGCACTTCGGCAGTTGTCAATCCAAGTAGAGTCATCTGACAGTCAGTCAGTGTCAAGTAAATTAGTGCTACGAAAACACACACACACAAACAAACAAACACACAAGCAAATAAACAAACAAACGTAAGAACCAGAAAAAACTCTAACTCCTTCTCAGATAAGTGAGCCTAACTTCGATGGAAGATGAAATTAGTTTGATGAAGAGATCGCCGTCTTGAACATAGGCCACCATGTCTCGATCATCTGGGCAGGTTTGAGGGTGCAAGATGTTTCCATTCAGTGTAAATGATGTTTGCTGAATAAAAAAAGATTCAAACTTTTAAATTTTAAAATCGGCTATAATTTTGGCAGCTAAAATGATCAAGATGTTGGTTCTCACATTGCGGTGGCTGGGTTTAAATGCGGAAAGATTCCAGTTTTTTAGACTATCACACATAAAATGTGTAAAATTTTTTAATTAGTAATATTGAAGACTGCTAAAACCTGCAGACATAAATGGAAAACAGATTTAAACCTTGTATGTGTAAAAATTTGAATGAAATAATTGTGAAGGCAATTAGGTTAAGTTTCTGGCCTTTGTAATGCAGTGACTAGGTTCAAAGGCAAGAAGATCCTAGTCTATCCCAATCAAATATGTACAGTGTGCCACTGATTAATAATCTTTTTTTAAATTTTCTCTATGAATCATCAGAGCTATCAACAACACACACACAACACACGCACACACCCATAAATACACACACACACACAAACAGACACACACACACACACACACACACACACACAACAAACACATAAACACACACACATATAAACACACAAAACGCACAAACACACACACACAGCATATGCAAATGGCAAATACACCTCTGTGCCTTAATCATTTGACCCTCTCAATTTA